TCATATTTAGAAAACCTTGTCCTGTTTTTGTTTATTCAATGAAATGTATGAGCATTTTAGTCAAGTTTTAGTCAATGAAATCTTAGTCACATTTTCTTCATTCTGTATAATGGTTAAACTGATAAAAATAATTTTTTCTCAAAATTATAATCATAATGAATGTTGTCATTTGAGAAATTTCCTTTTGCATTTCAGACATTGCACTTTCACCAGTAAGCACAAATCCAATAGAATGTGGACTCATACACATGGTTTATTTTACATCATCTAGTGTACTGATTTATTATAGGCTTTTTATTATATAAATGAATACCAAAGACTTATGCAATCTCTCTGTCTACATTATGAAAACAGCTAAAAACAAACAAAAAATATTATAACAGTGAAATTCCAAGTAATTCCACTAATTCCAAACTGCAATAGCCTATTTCCCTATTAAAACAACAGCGGTTGAGTAAGTGCATTTATTCAGCGACCACACCCGCAAACAATACAGTCAAGATCTCATGACACAACAGAAAAAAGAGCTCCATGATTGAACATCCTTCAAAATTCCACCACTGAATAAAAAATGTAATTGCGACTTTTTTATATCACAATTCTGACTATTTGTCTCGCAATTGCGAGTTTACATCTTGCAATTCTGACTTTTTTCTCAGAATTGCAAGATACAAACACGAAATTGTGAGTCATAAAGTCAAAATCGCAAGACATAAACTCGCAACTGACAGTTATAAAGTCAGAATTGAGAGATATAACTTGCAATTGTGAGAAATAAAGTCAGAATTGCGATAAATAAATAGAGATATAAACTCACAATTCTGACTTTTCCCCTCACAATTCTTCTTTTGTCAGAATTGTGAGATATAAACTCAATTCTGAATTAAGTTCAATTCTGAGGAAAAAATACTATTTTCTTACAGTTTCTTACAGAGTTTATATCTTGCGATTCTGAGAAAAGTCACAATTGCAAGATTATGAGGAAAAAGTCAGAATTGTGAATTTTTCACAATTATATTTTTCATAACACGCAATCGCAAGTTATAAAGTCAGTTATATCTCACAATTCTGACTCTATACCACAAAGTTGCGAGTTATAAACAATTCTGAGAAAAAAGTCAGAATTGCGAGACATAAATTTACAATTACCTTTTTTATTTTTATTAAGTGGCGGAAACATGCTTCCATAGAAAAGACATGAGGGTGATTAGTTTTCAACTATTCCATTAGGATCCCATGAACATTCTGGTTACGGTTCCTCTTCCAAACCATCTAAAACAGGTCTAGAACACAGATGTCGTTGCCCTCGTCAACTGCGGGAATCAACTCTTCCAGATCAGCTGAGCTGACTAATGAGAAGAACAGGGAATATCGCAAGACAAACTCGCAACTGACAGTTATAAAGTCAGAATTGTGAGATACAACTTGCAATTGTGAGAAATAAAGTCAGAATTGCGATAAATAAATAGAGATATAAACTCACAATTCTGAATTAAGTTCAATTCTGAGGAAAAAATACTATTTTCTTACAGTTTCTTACAGAGTTTATATCTCGCGATTCTGAGAAAAGTCACAATTGCAAGATTATGAGGAAAAAGTCAGAATTGTGAATTTTTCACAATTATATTTTTCATAACACGCAATCGCAAGTTATAAAGTCAGTTATATCTCACAATTCTGACTCTATACCACAAAGTTGCGAGTTATAAACAATTCTGAGAAAAAAGTCAGAATTGCGAGACATAAATTTACAATTACCTTTTTTATTTTTATTAAGTGGCGGAAACATGCTTCCATAGAAAAGACATGAGGGTGATTAGTTTTCAACTATTCCATTAGGATCCCATGAACATTCTGGTTACGGTTCCTCTTCCAAACCATCTAAAACAGGTCTAGAACACAGATGTCGTTGCCCTCGTCAACTGCGGGAATCAACTCTTCCAGATCAGCTGAGCTGACTAATGAGAAGAACAGGGAATAGAGACGTCGATGAAGATGCTATGGTTATTTGTAACTTTCCATAAGTTATATAAAGACACCCAAGCATATGCCCACACAGCTCTTCTGCCAACACCAACACACTTCCTGCTACAGTACGCTTATTAACGAGCACAATGGGTATATTTGGGACGCATCAGTGCTGGAATGACTGATGGGCTGATTTTCCCCGACAAATACTCGAGGAGATCCGGAACAAGCTATGCTAAACATGATACAAAGCACACAACCCTAAACACGTCATTTATTAATGGTCTCACCTGAGAGATATACAGTGTCTGGAGACCAGAGGGTCGAGTGTCTCCGTTATGCTCTCGGCCCGCTCGAGGGAAAAGTGCTACTGTTACACAGGTTAACGGATTCCAGTGCATGTGAACGACTGCCAGTCATATCAGGCATGTGAACACGAATGCAAGATTTTGCTTTTGCATTCATTCATTCTAAAGAAATTATGGTACTGTCCATGCAATGTAATAAACAAGTTAACCCACTATGGCACAAAAGAAAACTCTAGAAAAACGGTTTACACTGAAAATAGTCTCGCAGATGTGCATTTAAAGCTAACTGAAATATGAGCAATTTATGTTGTGCAGACACAGTTTAAGAGCAGGTTTATGGTTAAGCAATGTTGCAAAAAAATAGCATAAATTAAAAAAAAATAATAATAATAACATAAAAATCTATTTATGTACATTAGAGAGGCTTCATGTCAAAACATGTAAGACTAATTCACCATGGGTTCCCTCGAGATTTTCTTATGGGTTTTTATAATGGGGGTTTTCAATTTATGAGTAAAATAAGGTCCGTGGTAAATATAAACTGACAATACTTGGACGTTTTGCGCTACAACGCAAATTGCACACACCCATACTGAAAATGCACATTTTAAAAAATTTATGTTTGTAATAACAACCCTCTACGCACACCTTGGCAATATAATCGCCATTGAACTTATTTCCGCTCGGCTGCTTCACATGGCTGCTTACACGCACGTGCAGCGGATAAAATAACAGAGACAGAGATAATATCTCCTCCATCTCCGCCAAAAAAAAGTTAAAATCTGCAGAATGGGAATACATCTGATATTAAAAAAAACGAACGCAGCGTTGTCCTTGAGGACGAATCCAATTTGCAAAAAATGTTGACGCAAAGTGGCTGCAAAAGCAGGCAATACATCCAAAATCTTCACTCATATTCGCGTAATGTGTCGCATTAATAACAAGTTATAAGTTAAGGCCGTATGATTTCCGTGAAGCAGAGGGAATCCCGGTGCAGTCGTGAACATGGAATTTCCAGTATAACGAGGATGTCACGTAAAACACGCAATCTGATGGAAGGATAAATCAAAAGTAGATATGATATGTGTCTGTGAATATTTATGCGCAAAGAGACAGCTTTTAATCTACTTGTTTCTGCATGTCTCTGAGTGGCGCTGTTTTATCTACTGCAAATACGCATGACGCTAATGGTGTGTTCAGCGTCTACATAAACATGAACATCAGCAGAGCTGCTCTGAGAGAAAACGTAAATAAATATTTCCTAGTTTTATTTGAGAAAAACCATTGTCAAATACACTCTGAAACTCAAAGGTCCGCTTACAACCTGTCAAAATAAACGTTCGATTTAATTTGAAATTATGACAGAAATATATTAGCATTGTACAATGTACTTCAAAGTTATAATAACAACAATAATAATATTCCTTATAATAAAATGTAAACATTGTTTTCAAGGAATATCATGTTTGTCCATGTTTTAACTTTGCCAAAAATAAAAGGAGTTGTATATTTTCATTTGATAACATTTTAAAACATTAATTAAAATGTTAAAGTGTGATATAGATATACATAAGGTGTACAGCTTTATTTTTTTATTGTTTTTTAAATGTATTTATTTTATTTTGCAGAAGGGAGACGTCAATACTTTCATTAAAATGGTTTCAAGTTTGTTGTAATAAAGGATTTGTTCACTCAAATAACTTGTTCTTGTTCTTTCAAGAGTCATTGTTACTGATAACAATGATAGTTTAATATATACCGTGATATTTTCTGAGACTAGTATCATACCGTGAAAATCTCATACCGTTACAACCCTATGTACAATAAAACATCCAAGTATCATCAAGTCATGTTTACCACAGACCTTATTCTACTAGAAAACCCCAATTAAAAAACCCATAGGAAAATCTGGAGGGAACCCAATGGCGAAATAGTCTTCTGGGTTTTGATGTCAAGGCTGCAGCTCTCTATTACATTTTGTTCACATATCAGCTGCTTTCTAAAGTCTTTTCTTTTTAACTTGCACTCTAAAAAAAAAAGGTACAAAAGCTGTCAATAAGGCAGTACCTTTGCAAAAAGTAACATCTTTGCACCATATTTATCCCTAAATGGTGCATATTGGTACATACTGGTCTCTAAATGTATATATTAGAAAGGGTACCGCCCCAGTGACAACTTTTTAAACTTTTTAAACTTTTAAGTATTATATAAAATGCAAGGCTGGTTTTGCTATGATTTGGAACCAGACTTATTCATTTAATCATCTTTTCAAGTATTAAAGTATACGGAGTTGATTATCAAAAACAGTCATTTCTACAATACATGCTTATTTAATATATAAAACCATTTTTGGGTTGAATTTCCAGCAAAGATATCCATATTCTAATATATATAGTTATTGTTACGGATGTAACGATTAACCGCGAGCCGGTTGAAAATCGATTCAAATACGTGACGATTCAAATCGGTTAAGATGCTAAACAAATCGCGATTCATTTAGGGGTAGGAGTTTATATGAATGCATGTCCGAGGGGAACTTACTGTCTTTAGACCAGACGACGCTTCATCATTCATGTAGCATTTTATTGTTATGTCAGACCATTAAGACATATGCATTACATTGACTGGTTCACCAGTTGTATGTATCATATTTTATGTTCACCTGCGAATACAATTAGCTTTCCTGCTGTTAACAGGACATAGTGTTTAACTAATCACCTAACGTTATCTGAACAATCGGACCAGTGCTGCTTCCTCAATAAAGTTTATCATTCTCACGTGTTTTAAGCCTTGTCAGTTTAAATATTAAAGTGTTTAAGCCATTCAAGCATGAGACAGCACGGAATAGATTTCACTGCGGTATTTACACGCTGTGATAGACCTTTTCTGAAAGAGATTTAAATGTGGTACTCAGGCGTTGTGATAGATCATTTCTGTTCGCGCCGGCGGCGCTGCACACACACACAAAGCCACAGCTCGGCTCGGACAGCACGTGAGTAGGCTACCAAATTGAGCCTTCTGTCGGGCCTTCATCAGCAAATGCACACAAAGCACGTCGGAATGACAGTGTTGAGGAGTATCCACGTAAACGAGTATTGTTTCCGATCCGCACTTTACCGGTGCGGTTTCTTCAACCCCTAATACTGCTCGGTCCCATCGCCGTATCGGCTCAAATGCATAGGCAATTGCACTTATTATGGACTTAACAGTGCATTCAATGTAATCTCCCTCCATTTCAAAACAAGCATGTGTTTAAAATAAAGAAATGCTTATATTACTTCACTGGTCATCGGAGCGAACCAACCCCGTGACGTTACACGCGGTGGTACTGCAAGATGGCGGCGCCCTTGCTCTAAAAGCTATAACAAAACAGCCTTTTTTCTTTAAAATGGTTACATTAATCATGTTTGTTATATATTTTTTAATCAAAGTGGAAATCACTTTACTAAATAATGTAAACTTGACTGACTGCTTCATTTCCACTTT